GCTAGCATGGGAGGTGTTTTTTACCATGTGCATATGGAACACAATGAGGAGGTAGACAACCTTGCTAAAGAGGCCATTGGTGCCTAAGTTATCTCCTTGACTACTCCAATAACCCCGTGAGGATGGCAGCCTTGTTTTCTTGGTTTCTCTAGGGCTGCAACATCTTCACCATTTCCTCTCCTTGTCTTTATCTTTTCTCTTCTTTTCTTTCTTTTTTTATTAACTCACTTTCATTCTCTCAAATGAAATCTCATTAAAGTTCAAAAAAAAGAAAAAAAAAAGTTTAAGAACTACAAAGGGGCAATAGTTTTCAAATTGTTCCATTACCATTACTATTGTTATGTTTAAATTTTCATTTCAATGATATGGTAAAAAATAATTAATGAGGAAACAAAATATTGGGTATCTAACTTTGAATATTCTTCGATGGTATTATTCCTAAACCTAAACAACTAGAGGTACCTTTATTATTTGGCTGGGTAAGGGTGCTTGGCGTATATCACGATTTTGAATTCAAATTCTAATATTATCATTTGGAAATTTATGCTAATATCTCTATTTTTTTGGAATTAAAAATTTGTCCCATATATAGAGTAGTTTACACAGTTAAGAGGTGTGAGTTCGTAGTCTTAGATAGGCTGGCTAGGTGTAGCACAGATCAGAACAACAGCTATTAAGATGTGTGAGTTAGTTCAAGTGGTAGGCTCAAAAAGAGCGAAAGATAGGTTCAAAAGAATATGGTTGAAAGTCAGAAAAGATATATGAACTTGGGTGTAACTTTTAATAGAGCAAAATGGTATATTAAGATTCATAAAGCCGACCCCAAATAATTGAAAAAAATGCTATGATGGCGATGATAGTATAATTTATGATCTTGCCCTAATTTTTTGATTTTTTATTCTTCTCCGAAGTGACATGAGTTCGGAGTTTCAAAATCCAAACCAAACGGTCTAGATTTAAAATTTTGAATCCATTTTTTGTGAACCAACCAATTCAGATAGTGAAATTCTGAAATGATTTATTTGAGTTTTGGGAGAAAAGATCAAGTTAATTAGGAGTGGAGTGGGATTTACATTTTGATACTTGGAACCCCAAACTCAAATAAACTAGTTTGGAGTTTCAAAATCTGAACCGATCGGTTCAGAAAAAACAATTGGTTTTCAATAGAAAGTCCAAACCTCTGAAATTTTCAGAAAAAAATCAAAAAACAAAATATAGGGGACATGAATGTAAGGTTCGGGGTATGGATTTTTAATCCTAAAACAAAGGGATACTAGGATAAATACCTCTTATTTGAATACATACAGAAGAAACAAATCATAATGCCGTAATTCACTGTATTTCCCCATTTATGATATATTGTTCTTCATTACAACCCCTACCTTCTTCGGATGAGAAACCCTGAATTCAATTTCAAGAACAGAGACCCAATATCTGAAACATGGGTCCGAAGATAGAGAATTAGACAGATAAGGAAAACCTAAAACCCAATGGTTGTAGCTCCAATTCATGAATGCTGTTGGTTTTGAGAAAGAGTGAGAGAGGAATAAGGTCGCTTGTTTCTCTCTCGTCGCTCCCTATTTGATGTTAATGCAGAGCGCTTCCCATTCCAACCCTCTGTGCGTCTCCAATCTCCCAATATTCATTCTGATCAGAAGCTTCCCATTCCAACCCTCTGTGCGTCTCCAATCTCCCCATATTCATTCTGATCAGAAGCCTCTGAATTTTGGGTTTTTAGAGAGAGAAAGAGAATGGGCAGGGGAAAGAAGAAGGGGGAAGAGAGAAAGAGTATGAGTGAGAAAGAGCAAGAGGGGGTGAGTAGTGAGAGAAAAGGGGAAGAGATATGCATCAGAAAGAAAAGGAAGTGGGAAGAGATGGAGGGAGATTGTCTCATGAATATCTTTAGAAGATTGGATGCAGAGGACCTGGTTATGGGAGCGAGAATGGTGTGCAAGTCATGGAAGAAGGCCTGCTCCTCCACTCTCTATTGGGAAACTGTTAATGTTCCTCAACGTATCGACGGCCCGAAGATGCTTTATCTTGCTGATAGACTTGAAAGTAGTTGAAAATCGATGTCAAAGCCCATCTGTGGGACTGTGACTTTTTTCTCTCTTTTTTGATAGAGAGAGAGAGAGAGATTATGTTTTTTCTTTTTCTTTAATGCATGGGAGAGGGGAAATTGTTTGTGGTCTTCGCTTTTGCACTTTGTGGCATATGCAATCTTTCTGTTCAATTGGGAAGGCTCTTTTTTTGTTTAATGGCTAATGTTGCAGTCCGTATACCCTACTCTTCCTTTTCTTTCTAAAATTTGTTTTCCTTTTCTTCTTGGGAAAGAGAGACTGTTTTTCCATTGTTTCTTGAGAAATCTTTCTTTGTACCATCAATATTCATCTTCGTCTTTTTGTTGGTAGCTAATTTTTCAGGCCATGTGAGAAAATTGTAAGACAACCTTCATAAAAAAAAAAATTTGCAGAAAAAAAAAAAATGTATTCTATCAACTAATCGGCACAGGCTTTTGGCAATTATTTTCGAGCCCACATGCTTGTTAAGTAAAATCCCATTTGAGCCCACCTAATTTTAGCGAAAAAAGAAAAGAATAAGAAAACTGTTCAGACCCTCCTCTGCAAAAGGTACTGGTATGGACAAGAAGGAAATGGTATGGGCAATATGAAAGGAAAGAAATATGGAAGGAAATGGCATGGGCAATATGAAAGGAAAGAAATAGAAGATGTTTTGAGATTGGATTTGTAGAAAGAGGATTTATGTCAGGGATTGTTGCTGAATGGGCATCAGTTAGGAATTTCATCAGTTAGGAAGTTTGGGGAATGAAAATAATGGATTTGATCATAATATGGAGGTAAGCTTTGGGGAATGAACAGAATGGATTTGATCATAATATGGAGGTAATTAAACCTAAAGAAAGTTGGGGAATGAAAAGAATGGATGTGATCCATAATATGGAGGTAATTAAACCTAAAGAAAGTGTGAAGAAAATACGAGAGAGGAGCCCCTTGAAAGTTGCTGCATCAATCTATACCAGGGAATTCGCCCCTTGAAAGTTGCTGCATCAAACTATACCAGGGAATTCTATTAAAATTCTGAGTAGTGCAGTGTTCAAAGATCATAATATAGTTTTAAGTACTATGGTCTAATAGAATGTTACGATTGCAAAAGAAACAGAATTACGCTCGCAACTGCAAGGACTAAAGATTGGAGGACTAAAGATTCGGGTTTGAGAAGAGAGTGATAGCTGAAGGTCATTCTTTTTTAATGTCATTCAATTGTGTAAAACTTCAGTGGAGGAGCGATGGGCCTCATGAATGGTTTGGTAAGAAGTGATGGATCTGGTTGAGAAGATGCATGTTCGATTTCAACATGTATATTGCACCAAAATTCCAGCTGCCGATGGGTTGGCCAAAGAAGGGGTGCAGACCTCTGAATTACTGACTTCTTGATTCATAAAATTGTATTGTATGCATATTTTGATCACTGAATAATATGAAAATGCCCAAGAGTTGGGACAGGTTAAAAAGTTTTGTTTTCATTGTTTTTAGGGTTACATGCTTTACAACAGCGAATTGATTGTACGTCTGTGTTGTGCATCTCGGTTAAGAGTGTCAAGAGTGAGGGAACAAGCAAGCACAGCAGAAAGAGTAAGAGATAGATGCATAAGAGAGAGGTAGCAAATTCAGAATTGTGATTGAATAGCAGGAAGAGAGAGAGAGGAGCCGTAAACCAACCCGAAAGAAAAATTGTATTGAGATAGCAAATACAAAATTGTGATTAGATAGCACATACAATGATCAATGTCAACAGCTCATAGAGCAGAGAGTCAAACAAACTCAGAAACCAAAAGGTTTAAGAGTGCTTTATTAAAACTTCACAGGCATTTTTGAACCATATCAAAGTTAATTTTTCAATCAATTGATTGAGAAAAAAAAACCAATTCAGGCTCTCCATACTCTCTCTATTAGAGTAGGCAATATTTTTGGTCCTTGCCGGTACCCCTGTTTTAGGTCGCCCATATTCAAAATTCATACACATCGGGAAACTCCATACCACTGATTTGACTCTTTTTGCCCAGTTTATAGAATAGTAAGCCCTGACCCTCTCGGACTGCACCTCACCTGCACAAAATGAGTAATGTTTATCCAATCAAAAATACATAACAAAATAAAATAAATAAATATATATATATATATATATATATATATATATATATATATATATATGTACTTATATAGAAAAGTACTACAATACTACCTACTTAACTACTATCGTTACGTTACGGTCTCCTATGTGAGTAGAGTACGAGTAAC